CCCCAAAACCCCAAAACCCCAAAACCCCAAAACCCCAATTGGATAAGGACTAGTTGAATTTTAATTGCTTTTATTTGTAGGGATTTAAAGTGATGGAACTGCTTTATGAGGCTTTTTGGGCGGTTTGAAGGAGGATATTGGTCTCACCCTGGAAGATTTTTGGGAGGTTATTTTACGTCTAGAGAATAATTTTCTACAATCATTTCTGTTGAGATTTGATGGAGTTCTAGTTCTTGTTGTTGCAGTGCCTAAAAGGAGATATTAACCTCACGCATACCTTTTCTAGAATAGTTGTTATTCTTAACAGAAATCATATTATATTGATTTGCCATCGTAAACTCCCTCTGATTTCAAATATGAGTAATCCTAGATGTTTTGCTTTTCTTCAACAAGCACTGAGTTTTACGAGCCTTTAACTTAGAGCTTGCCTTTAAATTTGTGAACAGATGATTATTAATATAACTAGCCATATCCTTGATCTTGTACTTCTTAGGATCATATGTCTTAGTACTGTCTTTATTTCACAATGTATTAAACTGAAACCTCTTCTCCAATGCTTTTTCCTTAATCTTGGCAATCCTAGCTTTGACATTGCTAGACTTATCGTCTGGGTGGGCTAGGCCAAACCTTCTGAATAGCAGAACAGGGACAGATACTTTCTTCTTTAAGGCTTTCTCCTCCAGCTTCTTGGCATATTCTTGTTCCTTCTTTTGGGCCTCCTCAGGTTTCATACGTTCTCTCTTAAGTCCGGTCATGATAGAATCAACAATGATATGACTATTGGGTTTATTTACCTTTAAATAAGAAGGTTTCACCTTTGAGTCCTTCATCTCTTCTACTTTAGATGAGAAGTGAGCTCTTTTTTTTTTCAAATGCTTGCTCTTCCTCTTTTTCTGTGCCTTAGATATGCCACAATTGAGAAACTTCAGTTTGGGTGATGATCATGAGCTATGAGAGGTATTTGTCTCTCCAGTGTACTCATCTAGGGGCCGTAATCCATCACCCAAATATCCTCCAAAGCCATAAGTTGGAGAGCTACCTCTAAAGATATGAAGAATTGTACTTACTCTGCATAATTACTCATTACCATTTCGGATATTTTGTTCATATCCTGCTTAAACTTGCCACTTCCATAGGCATTTCGAGCAGTTTTTGGCTCAAAACTTTCCTTAAAATTAGATGAAACCTGGATAGAGATTCTCCTAAATCTATTCTTGTTATTTGAAATTATTCTTTGCACTTCTCTCAGACTTCCTTGCTGTGTTATTTACTATTAAATTCTAAACAGAAATAAGAGTAAGTATACTATTTCTGTGCCTTCTCACTTGTTCTTCTCTCTCAATTTGGATATTCCAACCCTTCATGTTCTGGATAGATATTGCAACTCGGTCTCCTCCAACAATGTTAGAGTATCGTCTTAGCTATAATAAAGAGTCAGCTCCTGACTTAGCTTTAATCTTACCTTTACAAATGACTCTGCCTGCTTCTCCTCTTGGTTGTTAGCTCTTTGTTTCTTGGCCTTTTGTGATTTGGTAATAGAATTTATCTTTTTCAACTTGAAACTTGTTGATGGAGTACTACTCAGTCTTTTCAAATGAGCCCTATAGAAATTTAACCAAAGCCTTACTTCTTATTTAAACACCTCATAGTTATAACAACCAGTAATCAATTTGTTTCTTAACGCATTATGGCCTTCCTCAAATTTCATCTTGAATAATCTTCGTTTCTAAAAACCAGAAATTAACCACCAAGATCTGTCGAGTAATTATTATTGTTATCAGTTCTAAAATATAAATGGATCCCTATTTATTGTTCCGATTTTTATCCAAACTGCAAAGAATAAAGCTCTAATTTTCATGCCAAGTGATGATACTATACTTCACAATGATTCTTCACAGTCAAAAATAGTTCCTAAATCCAAAAATCCTCATATCGACCAAACTCTAGTTTCGAACAGAATAGTTAAATTCCCCATAGTGACTTCATCTTATATTTTGTGCAGAGCTAAAGCCAAAAAATACATACTAACCACATTCACCAACACGAATCACTACAATCTGCCCTATCCACCACTAACACCCTACCCATCTCCCCCACACCATCACATTTCTTACAAAACTCTCCCAACTCCAACCCCAAAACCCCTCAATTATCTAACCTTCCCCATTATTCCACTTAAAAATCCCACTGAGTCACTTCACCCCCTCGCTTTTCTACTCTCTTGCGCTCTTATTCCCTGTACTGTAAGGGCAGGGGGTGAGCGGGTGGAAGAGTGGGGGAAGTGGGGGATTGGGAAGTTGAAGGGGAGGAGGGGTGGTAGGTAGTGGTGGGAAGGGGGTTTGGGGGTTTTAGGGGGTTTTAGGGGTTTTGGGGGGGGTGGTGGAGGGGTGCAGGGTTGGGGGATTTAAGTGATGTGATGGAAGGGGTGAATAGTGTATTTTGTAATTTCTCATGTTTTTGGACATTATTTATTGATGGAAATGATAGAAAGGCAGAAGAAAGGATATTATTGTGTTATGGGATAGAGGTGGTGAAATTTTGAGATAAGAGATTTGCAATAAAGTCTGTCTTTTGAAATTCAGGAATCCTCCTTGAAAAGTTTTATTAATAAGTATATTTCATGTTTTCTGAAGAGATAAAACTGCAATGGACTTGGACTTACTTCTAAGAGAGATACTTTGACTTTCTTCTCATTTTTCAGGTTCTAGATTAAATGTAAGCCTATTCTCAAGCGAAATTTAGAAGACAGAGCTTGAGTGTATTAATATAAAATGATCCTATAATTTACAGCCTATAAATAGAGATATTCCAAGAAATATTTTAATGATTCCAAAATATGTAAAGGATCTCTTACATTAAACTCCCTTTTCACAATTTTACTAATAGGCTGATCCCATTCGTTAGGTCTGGTAAGCTCAAATGATTTGCTCTTCTTCATCTTCTTTCTCAATATTTATAATATATACTGGGGTTTTGGGGTTTTGGGGTTTTGGGGTTTTGGGG